TAGTGCATGTCGGATGATGTCTTCAACGGGGGCCGAGGGTTGACACCTTTTGATCCATAATGTGGAGATGCCTCGTTAAAAACCTCATTAGGAAAAACCATGTGGGAAAAAATCCTAATGAGGGAAAAAGAGTACATCGGATGCCCCTAGAACGAAGCAAAAAGGTGCGAGCCCTTCGGCCTAGAGGTGGAGCTGCAACGGTGTCCGTCTGCCGAGGGGATGGCCGAGGCCGATCCCTAGATGTGGGCAGCTTGTCATGATCGGTGGTCCTAGTCATCAAATAAAGATGACTAAGGGATGAGTCAAGCAACCGTCCATAATATGATGTTTGGTTCATCAAATAAAGACGACCAGAAGTATGGCCGAGAGGTGGATATGAAATCGCTTGACTGCACCTATGCATTCAAATAAAATTGTTATAATTTCTTGAGCTTATAATTCACTATTGGATTTGGGCCTACATTAAATGGCCTCAAATTTTCAACCTGGAGCTCAAATTTTGTTTCTATGCTGGGCATAGAAACCAAATTGTGTATTAGATAACAGTTGGATTTGGAGCTTATTTATCGCCACACCCGTTTGTCGTGACCCGTGGCGCGAGACTTCAATAGTCTGCCGGTGTACGCGGGTGCTCGGAATAAGTCTGTTTTTCAATGTAAAAAAAAATACACACTATTCAAAAATAATGATAATAAATTAATAAACTAACTCAACTTGCCACTCAAGTTCGTAGTTTGAAAGAAGACCGTTAAAAGGTTGAATTATTAGTTTCCATTTTCCCTATGTATAATGAATTCCAATCAACCATTTAATCCTTTACATGGCTCCCATAGGAAGTATTTATAGGAGAAAAGAGGGCTGGGCTTCCAGGCTTGGGCCTGACTGGCCCAGTTACAATAAAAGACCAATAAATGGCTAATAAATGGTATCTAATCTATTCTAATGGGTACATATGAATAAATATAATGTACAAGGAAATAAATGTTATCTACTGAGCGTATGTGGGCCACTGTCCGAGCCCAATAGTCGTGAGACCCAGGAGTCCGAGTCTATATACTCTATCAATACTCAAAATTAGAGGATAAAATATTTTTGTGTCGAGTGTTGACCAACACAAGGAAATTTGAAAATGGATTTTTGGCAAATAAAATAACAAAATACAAAACATCAAATTCACACGAATTCAACAAAATTAATTCAATGATACATGTTCAGCCACATGTTCAATATTTTCTGGGCGAAAAAAACAACGCACATTTTGTTCCATGTCTTGAAGTCTAATCGAGTCAGCTTATATGTATTCAAGATAATTTTCAACGATAAATTCATCATTCTTAAAACCCTAGGAGAAATTTAAAATAGAACAATAATTAAAATTCACCTACTAATTCCTATGATCCCATTTAGCTAACTTAATAAAAACGGGCTTTTATTTATTTAGCTCCCACTATTTTACATGTTGTTTAAAATTAGTGAAAAAACATGTAAAGTTTTACAATTATAGCGGCCAAAAACCTCATTCATACTATTACAGTCTCAGCTTTGACTGGTTACCACATTAACAGAAAAGGCAAGTCCTTAGACCAATTGCAATCCAAGTAATTCTTGATTGACCAACTTGTGTTAATTTAAGTAAGTCAGACCATCATATGATCACAAAGATAGGTATCTATAAGTTAATGTTATATTTTGTTAAACAAGTAATTACTATGGTGAAATATTTTGAATGAAAAAATACACTTGCTAATTTTATTATTGTGATGGATGATGTCATTTATTCTAGATAAGATAAGACTTAAATTAAAAGTATGGGAAATATTTAATGGGTATTAAGTTATTTAAATAAGATGCTTATAACATATTATAAATAGTATGTCAACGAGATCTAATTTAGACAGATAAATTAAAGCATGCAATATAAACTAAATTAGCGTCGTTACAATAGTCAAACATTAAACATTAAAAATATTGGTCAAATTAAAATTATCCTTCCATACCCAAAATATAATCAATAAAGAGGTTAATTTAATGAGTTGTAGGTATGCATAAAACCGATTTTACATGTGTATATATACCGTCAAACAGTCCTTAGACAATTAGTGATTTCTCAAGAATGCCCTCTAATTTATAAGATATGGCCCAAAATCCAAAATAATGTAAATTAGATCATGGAAGAATATAATCCATTTGTATTAAATTAAAAGAAAAGATATACCCAAGAACGTCTCCGACCTCCATTTCATATAATAGGATTGTTGCCAAGCTATGGAGAGGAAAGAAACGTTAAGAAGAAAGAAGCTTGAACTAGGTTGTTTAACGAGGATGCATTCAATTCTCACCACAATAACTTAGATCATTTTTCTTCTTTATTACTAGCGTTTGCTCGCACAAGACGCGAGAGTGTTTGCCCAATTTTATTGAATCTCAGACAGACTAAACAACTAATGAGATGGACTATAGTAACAAACTAACAGCCTAACCACCATTAGACCAAGCTCCAATGCTTGGTTATGTTCGATTTAACTAACCAAAAACAGATTTTAAGTGACGATGTTTACCTAACACTCAGATAATAGATTCAAGTCTAACTGAATGAAATGTATTTTGAGTGATAGAATCATTAGAATGTATTTTGAGTTTGCATATCTCTTTGTCTAAAACTTCAATTTTGGACTTTTTACTATTTCCATAACATAAAGTGAAGAAGAGAATTACATGGACATAAAATGTAAATTGCTTGGAACATGAAAAGTATTTTTTTTTATATTACAATCTGGACTAGACAAGCTAAAAGCCTAAAAGTATTTTAGATTATCTAAAAACTTCAAGCAAATCTGGGCTTTGGCATGGGAAAAAAATCTGAATGCACAAGTTTAATTTGAGCAAGGAGATAACACCTTCTTGTGATCTTGAAAAGAATGATCACGCACTAGGTTGAAGGCCCCTTCATTAGCAAGTGAAAACTCAAATTGCTCTAAGATCTTAAAGATATGCCAAAAATCAGGTACGAATGAATTTATGAAACAAGTGGCATGGATTTCAGTCCTGAAGTTTGACTGAGTTGAATAGAAATCGGAACAGAGACCATTTCAAAACTTATCCTATGCCGAACACTGCAAGAGTATTTTGTTCTCCTTATCCACGAATTGGCCACTTCTTCCAATGGTCCATCACCCTACCACGACCTAAATCACTTGATAACGGCTTAGAAAAATGTTGTTTTAAATGAACAACTTAGAAATATGTTCTTCTCCTTCTTATGCTCAATATGAGGTATATATCTAGCAATTCCTTTTAGAATGAATATGTGATGGGTATAATTCCATGTCAGAGTTTTCACCAACTCCATAAAAAATGATGAAAAACTTACTCAATTATCAATATGGCATGCTAATGACCGGCAAACATGTCCGCTGCTAGTTCATAAATTTGAAATGCATATCCAAAATATGCTAAACTAAACAGAGATAGATTATATTAAGAAATGCATATAGTTGCTTGTTGGAGATGAATTTATGTTCTGAATGAAGTCAATCACCGCACCTTCCAAGATGAATACTACCTAGAATCCAACCACATATATACACTCAAACATATTAACAACAAATTCCACATATCAACCCCATGATCCACACAAGTTTACCTTTTTAATAAGGGAAAAATAATTAAAATATCTCAAACTTTGAAGGAGTGTGATATGAACACCCCAAACTTCCATATGTAATTTAACATCCCAAACTTTATATAAAAAATTATTTTAGAACCATAGTGAAGTATTATTTGTTAAAAAATGTAAATTTATGGTGTTAATTGCATAATTTAAAATTTTAGAATTCATGAAGACAGAACTAATATTTCTAACCTTCCATTGCGATATAAATAATGTTACCCACAATCTATATAATTGCAACACTTTAATTTTCTATTTCAAGTTATGCAATAAACCCCATAAATTTACATATTTGAAAGAAATAATACATGACAATAATGCGAAAATAACTTTTTATGTATGCAAGTTTGGAGTGTTTACCTCACACCTTTAAAGTTTGGGGTATTTTATTATTTTTCTCTTTTAATAATGTTGCTAGTAATTAAACTGAAAGTTCAAATCAGTGAACCGTTAAATAAATAAAATTTCTAACCACCATATTTTTGAATTTGTGGACCTTGATAAATGGAGTCCGGGCTTTTCAAACAGAATAACCTCGAACAACCATTACATATGACTTACAAGCAAACAAAAGTACATATATTCTTTTTGATAAAACCATAGGTGCTTCCTATCTTTCATTCAAAATAAACCGAAGCTCAAAAACCTCTAACAAATCATACAAAATGTGTAGCTATAAAAATATATGTATAAGAAGTAGCCGATGCCTTTGCCGGACAAATAAAGGGAAGAGAGGATATGAAGCATCGACCTAAGGGTGTTTGGAACTGATTCTGCTTCTGCTTCTTTTTTAAAGCAAAAGCAGAATAAGAATCAATTTTCAGAAGCTGGTACCACCTAGCTTCTAAAAAAACTGATTCTGGGAGTGATTCTTGAATTTCACCCAAACACTCTATCTTCTGCTCCTTGAAGGAGTAGAATCAGATCTAAACACCCCCTAATCTAATTCCCCCTGCGTATCTGGTCTTACTTGCGAGGGAGATGTGCGTTACCAGATGTTAATTTTTAGACGGTATGTAAGGATGAATAAGTCGAATGAAAAAATAAGGTTTCACTTTTCAAACACAATGAGTATTGACATAAATCAAGAATACAACCCCCATTTTACATGTGGTTAGATATAATACTCCTAATAAAATGTAATTTAATTTTCTTTCTTTCGCAATTCAGCAAAATTACTGCATTTCAGCCGAACTGTTTTGATTTGTCGTCTAATCCAGGTAAATCATACTCCTACAGTCCTACTCCGTAGAACAGCACTGTTACTGTTTTGGTCTCTCGTTTAAATGGGTTTTGGTCCTTAGGTAGGAAAATGACGACCTTCCGAAACATTCCACCCGACCCAATATACATTCACGTAGGGTTCGTAAAACCCTTCAGCAGAACAGAAGAGTGACACTGAACAATGGGGAAAGGCCGGAAAGCACAGGAACAGTCCGGCAGCTATGACGAATTGGATGCCACTGTAAAGTTCTCGCTTCACTATCACATTAGGTCGTTAATATTTGTAAATCATGTGTAGCTTACCATTTTTCTTTTTGAATCTTCTGCAGCAATACTTTGAGAACAGAAGGAGAGCACTCATGTCTGAGAAGGAAGCTGGAAAAAATATTTACCCACATAAACATGAAGTATCCATGACTGTTCCCGATTTCATTGAGAAATACAAGGAACTAGAAAGCGGGGAGCATGGGGATGAGCAAGTTTCTTTAGCGGGTACATGTTCTCAATCCCTATTGAATTGGTGGTTCTCAATTGATATTCATATGTAATAAGTTTTACTAAAGCTTGAAGTTTATGTCATGGAAAGGCCGGATAATGTTCGATCGCAGACAGTCATCGAAGCTGGTGTTCTATGATTTACATGGATTGGGCGCCAAAGTTCAAGTAAAGGCGGATGCCAGGTATTGATTTTCAAACCAATTTAGTCACATTTGAATTTGAATCTGAAGTCCAAAAAGTATTTTGAAAATGGGTTGCAAACTTCAATTCAATAGAACTAATGTGGTGTAGACTCCAATCTAAAGAACTTTTGGGGTACAAACTGTAATGTTTAGGGTGCAAATTCCAATTATTTTGAAAATGGGGGTGCAAACTCAATTCACCTGAAAATTTGTCTGCAAACTCCATTTCCTTCATTTATTTTCACTCAAATTTGCATAATTATTATAACTTAGTTGCACAGTACGTTAAAGAAAATGTAGCTTTTGATATCTCCACTGCTGCAACTTTAGCATCATAGACTGATATTGCACTAAATTTACTTTACTTTTTAATGCCCTTAAATATTAACGTGTGATATCTATTTGTCTAGTGAATCTGAGTTGAATGAGGAGGATTTCATTAAACTTCACTCTTCTGTGAAGCGTGGTGATACTGTTGGAGTTGTTGGGTTCCCAGGTTTGGAACACTTATATGTTTCTGATCCATAATTTGATACACAGTTTTGCAGACTAATATTACAATATGAGATGAAAACATGAAGATGCGATTTGACATCCTTGTCTGACAAGCTAGTTTCCCAGTTAATAATTTTTACTACTACTTTCAGGTAAAACAAAAAGAGGAGAGTTGAGTATTTTTGTCAAATCATTTACAGTGTTAAGTCATTGTGTCCGTATGATGCCACAGAACAAAGGAGCCCAGACTAAATCCAAGGTCAGAGATTTTTTATGTGGACTTTAAATAGTTTCAATCTGTTTCTTACAATATTCTACGATTTACAGAAAACTGATGAATGGGCCCCTGGAATGCCTAGAAACCCAGACACTCTTGTATTGAAAGATCAGGTGGAGTTTGTTTTCTACCTCCTTTTCCACCCTCTTCCTAATGCATTTATATATATATATATATATATATATATAGGTATCTGTAGTAACTGAATCTAGAGCATTCCTTCAGGAAAAACGGTACAGACAACGCTATTTGGATCTGATGGTGAATCCAGAGGCCCGACATATCTTTAAGACGAGAACAAATATAATAAATTTCATAAGAAGTTTCCTTAACAATCTTGACTTCCTGGAGGTCAGTAACCTATTAATTTGTTAGATTCTTTAAACTACGACAATGCACCGATTTCATTTCCTGGTGTACTCTCTGCTATAATTGTTTAATTTAAAGGTTGAGACTCCCATGATGAATATGATTGCTGGAGGAGCAGCTGCACGCCCTTTTGTTACTCACCACAATGAATTGAATATGAGGCTTACATGCGCATTGCACCTGAACTCTATCTTAAACAGCTAGTTATTGGCGGACTGGAACGTGTCTATGAAATTGGGAAACAATTTAGGAATGAGGGTATTGATTTGACACACAATCCTGAATTCACTACCTGTGAGTTTTATATGGCTTACGCAGATTACAATGACTTGATGAGCCTTACTGAGCAAATGCTTAGTGGTGAGTGGTAATAATATGACTAAATTACATATTAGTATATAATTTTTCTGTGCCGTATGTTAATGTTTTGGAATCTTATTTGCCTCTTCAAATTTTCCTTAACCTTTTATCTGTGGTTAGGGATGGTGAAGGAGCTTACGGGTGGCTATATAATTAAGTATCACGCAAATGGTGTGGAGAAAGACCCAATTGAGATAGACTTCACTCCACCTTTCAGGTCACAACTTTAATTTTTTGTTAAATATTGTATGCACGTGAGAATGCTCAAAATAATTTTATTTATTTTGAATTTTGCAGAAGGATTGAAATGATAGAAGGGCTAGAGAAAGCGGCAAATCTCAGTATACCCAAGGATCTTGCTATCGATGAGGCTAACAAGTATCTGGTGGATGCATGCACCAAGTTTGCGATAAAATGTGCCCCCCCTCAGACTACATCTAGATTGCTCGATAAGGTAAAGTTTTTAGGCTTTTGAATTTCTCCATACCATAGATGTAATCATTATGGTTTAGAAGATTGGTAATATCAATGTAGTTCTTGAAAAAGGTTAAATTTAATCTTCCATGATTTTCACTGTGCATAGTTCATCAATCTTCAATTACCTTCATTAGCTGAAAAGAAAATATTATATCTATTTATCAAAGTTTTCATTTAATCAAGTGTTTGACATGTGTGTACATTTCAGCTTGTTGGGCACTTCCTTGAAGAGATTTGTGTTAATCCAACTTTTATCATCAACCATCCGGAAATAATGAGTCCACTCGCAAAATGGCATAGGTCTAAGCCTGGGTTGACTGAACGATTTGAGCTGTTTGTCAATAAGCATGAAGTACATATGCTCTGTTTTTTAATTTTTAATTCTTGAGTCACGTAACGTATTCTTATTTGGTGCATTATTGCCCGATTCAACAGCTTTGCAATGCATACACTGAGTTGAATGATCCTTTTGTTCAACGTCAACGCTTTGCTGACCAGCTTAAGGTACACGTATGATGTTCACTAGTCGTTTGATACTTTGATTAAAAGTATTTTTTAGGAAAAATTGAAAATAATAATCCCAACTATTGGCGGTCCGCTGAAAATAATCCCAACTATTGATTATTTTTGTAATTAGGAAGATTAAATATAGGAACTTATATAATTTAACACGTGAACTTTGAAAGTGTTTTAATAGAATCACGAGTTTCTTCAATTCAAAATCTTTGTCTAAGACACAAGAAAATGAAGAGCTTTTTCATGTATATTAAATACTACGTATAATGGAGTATTAGAATAATATATTAAAACGGGTTGGTCTGGGTACCCGTTTTCCAAGTTTTAGGATCTGTTCGGTTCTTAAAATTTTAAGACCCGCCCCGCCTAGTTTGGGTTTTCTAAAATTAGGACCTGCCCAACCCGCGGTTCCTATACCCATTTGTCCACCCCAAAATTACTCAATTAAATTAATCTTATTTAACTTATTTGTAACCCTTAATTTATCTAATCTAATTATCTATCATTTTATATCATTTTCATTTACCCCAGTGCCGCAAAGGCTCCCACCTACGGTGGGGTAGGGGGGGTCGGATGTACGCAGTCTTACCCCTGTACTAAAGCGGGTCGGTTTGGGTACCCGTTTTTCAAGTCTTAGGATCTGTTCGGTTCTTAAAATTTTAGGACCCGTCCCGCCCAGTTTGGGTTTTCTAAAATTAGGACCTGCCCCAACCCGCGGTTCCTATACCCATTTGCCCACCCCAAAATTACTCAATTAAATTAATCTTATTTAACTTATTTGTAACCCTTAATTTATCTAATCTAATTATCTATCATTTTATATCATTTTCATTTACCCCAGTGCCGCAAAGGCTCCCACCTACGGTGGGGTAAGGGGGGGTCGGATGTACGCAGTCTTACTCCTGTACTTAAAGCACAGAGAGACTGTTTCCGGATGACCCATAGTGAAAATCGCGTCCAAAATTGCAATGGACTGACTGCTGCTTCATAACAAAGAAGCACAAACAATTTAGTGCCATTTTGCTTTATTCCATCATATTCTCAAGCCAAAAAATAATGAATCTTTGGCTCCATTGCAAATGATGGAAATATCTAATCTAATTATCCAAGTTACATAAAAATGTGTTATTTGTTAAACAGTATTCTTTGTTTAATGAAAAACAGAGAATCAACAAAGGCTAAACAAATTGCGCTTTTATAAGAGTAGTAATATGCATTTCTCACTGAGCTTTATTTTATTTCTTTTTAGCCAAAACAAAGTGGGCGAACAAACAAATGCTAAAGATGTACAAACCAAACCACAGGATTGTAGTGGTTTCCCAGGTAATATGCCACACTTTTTGGTTCCCAAAAAGTTCTTTAATCCCAATAGCTTAGAATCCATTGGACATTTTCTTAACATTGTGCTTTTACTGCTACGTGCTGCTGAATTTGCAGAGACATCATGATATCGTTCTTCATGCTGAATGATGGAGATGGACTTCGATTTACTTCAAATACTCAAGAGTTTTATATGTATTTTATTTTTCAATGGTTAAATGTTTTCATGCACAAACTGAATGCCTTCATGCTTCCTAAAGTTTGCCATACCATATAAAACTCAGTTATATGGCATAGGATATGCAGTCATGTCAACACGGTATAAAGGGTTTCTCAAATATTTTACTGAACAGAAGTGTCCAAGGCGTACATATTGACTGTCAGGGTTGATAAGACTTACAGATACCTTCACATCCGACACTTATACCGGTTCATTTTATCGAGCCCGTTGATGAGTTGAATTGCCCAGAGATGTTGATCTTTACTGTTTGTGGTCAAATTATTCAAATCTGCAGACTGCAGCTCTTCTGCCTTGATTTTCTACAACCACCTTTCGCATGAAAAGGGCTTGCTTTTATAACAAAGTACAACATAGGTTGGCATAATCCACCCATGTATCAATGTTAGTTTTAATATACCAGTAAGAACAGCATGGCATAGTTGCATGGTCTTGTAGATGCAGAGTGTCCAAGCCTAGGGCGTGAGAGGGTCCGCAAATGTCCTCATGATGGAGCTGAACCGGAGTTTGGTTGGGGTTTCACGTGAATGTCTTACGTAGTAGTCTAGTACTCCCTCCGTCGCGAAAACAACTTCTCACTTTCCTTAAATGGATGTCCCAAAATTAACTTCACACTTCAATACTTTTCTTATTTGGCAAATTATCTACATCAAAAAAGTGATAAACAGTGTCAAACAGTGTTTAAACAGTGTCAAACAGTGTTTAAACAGTGTTAAACAGTGCAAAACAGTGCATTCTACAGTAAAGTCAAATTTATTTCCTAAAAGTGTGAAAGTCCAACCGGGAAGTTGTTTTCGGGACGGAGGGAGTACTATCTTTCATTCTTTCCTTCATGTACTATGTGTCTATGTTTAATCGAATGCAACGCTAGAGGTGTTTTTTAAATCTTTAGTTTTTCTAACATTTTGCACTTGCACTGGATTTCCCATTAAAAGTAAGAATATATTTGTTGCCTACAATTAATGATTAACTACTCTAAAAATGTGGTGTTCTACCATGGTTGTATTTGTTTACAAATATAAATTTATTGGAATAATTACATAATTTAAAATACTCTATGTTTTGTTAGATTGCAATTAACAATCTAAGATTTCATTTGTGAAATAAATAATGTTACATTCAGTATAATTTAAAGTATGCATAATTTCCCTTTTTCTAATTAACCCCCTACCCCCCACCCCACCCCAAATGGCCCAAAATACTCGACCCATCCCGGTGGAAACGAAGAAAAAGGTGAAAAAATGAAGACAAAAAATCGAATTGGGCCCGAACCAGGTCTCAATTATGCGTACCCGATCCCACCCTATTTTTCCCTCGGGCCGGGTCAAAGCCCAGTACCCGGACCGCTGAACCGGGCCGGTCCCGGGCCAGCACAATAGCGGGCCGGGCGGGTGGCCTGACCCCAGTCACCCCTAATTTTAATGTACATTTTGCTGAAGTCTACATGAAAACTAATGAACCACTCCAAATCCAAAGCTTACAAGGCATTTCTTTATAAAGGTGGGAAATTTCAAAATAGGAATGTTATATTTTTCTTCCAGAAATGAGAGCCCTCATTAATGGTAAATATTGTCATTTTAACGTCTAGTACTACAATTATTTTGGCAATAATGACTCTTATTTCAGGAAGAAAAAAAAAATATGAATCCTATTTTGAAATTCCAAAACATTTTACTCTAGATTTTCCCTAAAGGATTTATTAAATAGACGTACCCTGTCGACATTCTATATCTAGAATAATCTAGTACAATGTACAACCAATAATGCATTTAAAAGAAACAAACGATTACATGGTTCAAAAAGCAAACTTCATATATTTCACATAATTTTATGTTGAAAAAAAATTCATGGCTTGCCTTATTTAGACAGGGGGAAGCCACAGATAACAATTGACTATCAGACATACACAGATGCGCATAATTGATAAATAATCCCAGATACAACAGTACAGTCTAGGAGTAGAAAGCCCTACACGGGAACCATTGTAGGGTGAGAGCCAACAAGGGAATCCATCTCTTCCTCCATTTGTTGAGGATCTACAACAGGTTTCTTCTCAGGGAGGGGGCGGTCATGATCTGCGGCCCCGATGGCTTGGAAGACGAGAGAAGTTACCTCTTGGAACCTCTCCCTAGAAAGGGAAACCTCTGCGAGGAGTCTCCAAGCATTTTCTTCAGATGCACCCTCATAATCTTCCTTCCTTTTCAATACAATGTGACCGCTAATCTCCCAAACCGCTGGATTGACTTGGGTGTCAAGGAGCTCCCTACTCACCTCCCCAAGTGCCTGTTTCTCTGCATAACACTGTTCCAGTCTCTCGTTCAGATCAGATATTCAAAGTCACAATTTTTACTTTTTAATCCACAATTGTTTGACACCATTAAGTATGGGACTGTCTACATTTCTTGTAAACTTGGTCTCTCAATTGTTAATATTTACATGCATCTAGAACCTCCCCTTGAAATTGCTTTAAAGGATGGGGCCAATTGGGCATTCTTAGCAGTCTATATTAAAGAGAACGCCCTCATTAACCGATGGGGTATACTGTATCTCATTTATTATAACCATCGAGCGACTAAAATCTACATTATCTGCAAAGCATGTCACTGACTCACTAAATTACATCATGTGAACCAAGGGATAGACTATAAAGCTTAAACTCCCAAGATAGAGTGTAAGCACCCCCTTTGGTATCCAGCAAATGAAAAGGAATAAAATATCTTGAAGAAACTTGGAAAACAGGAAAATGTGAGGGATTCAAACATCTACTCAAACTCAATATATTTATTTTTTATATTCTTTGAAACTTGATTAATCTTTTATTTCTACGATATAGTCATAGTTGCCATTGCATCATCTAGGTGACGCTTAGGTGTCCTGGCAGTGGAAAGAACTGGCCATGGCTGGTTGCATCGCCTGAAGGGCAACAAGCATTCAGTGGCAGCGCTTCTATGTCAACTAGGCATTCATAGGGCGCCCAGGACAGAGTTTTTGCCAAATCAATTTTGAGCCAGCAGTTCAATCCGTCAAGCGTCCATTTTCTATCTCAGTTTCCTTCTGTCTATATTCCTTTCTGTTCATTTTCATTTTTCTTGTGTTTAACTTTTTTTTTTATATTTTTTCTGTTTCTTTAGATATCAACCATATTAAACTTTAAACTACTTTTTGTAGCTTAAAGTATTATAAATAGATATTAGACTCTTGTTGAGTTAACATGATGAATTAGTAAATCATGAACTATATCAAGTATTGTATTTATATAAGATATTTTGTTGTATTCGAATATTGCATACGGCTAGTTGTCGTCTAGTCACCTAGGTGACAAGGCTGTTAGCTAGCACCGTGCCTTACATAGATGCTGTGACAACATTGAATATATTGACTACAGAATTTAAACAAATGTAAAAAAAATTACAAACATCACTCATTTTTCATTTTCTTCGAAGGTAAAACCAGATGCAAAAAAAACTTCCTTCGAACACTTTTTCCCTTTTCCTAGGATTTAATCTGATCAACACATACTCTCAGCATTGCTCTGACTAAATAATGATAAATATAGAAAAAATAGGCATACCTGAGGAATGAGGAAAACTCTTTTCCCCATACCAGAGATGAGGGCGTTATAAGGAATGTTGTTTTCTTGGAGGCATATACATGAACTCGAGACGACATTGGCCAATTCATCTAGGGTACTCACCCCATCAAAGACAAGACCCCTCACAGGATAATTCAGAATCTCAGAAACACTCACACCACCACCTGCAGCAGTGGTTACTATCCTTGAAGGGGCCTTCTCAATCGGAAAGGGCACAGCCAAGTAGTATGCCTATGATATATAAGAAAAACAGTCAAAAAACGTTAATCAGTCTTTACTTATCTCCTTGAATATGATACTTTCACTCTCCTAAACATAGAGTAGTGTTTGAGTAAGTGTTCACCTTTTTATTTAGGCTAAAGGGTCAAATAGGCCCTTGAACTGACTTAAAGTGTTCAATTAGCCCCTTTTATGGGAGGTTCTGCCCGGCCTTCACTAATTGGGGCGGTTCCCGCTGGAATTTTTTGATGAAATATTTTGAGCATCTTATTCATTAAGTCTAGTTTACTCATACAAAATTTCAGCTAAAAATTCAACCGGGAAGGCAGTCAAATGATTTTTCGAAATGTACTGCGCTGTTTAAACTTCGCAGTTAAAATCATTTGACTGCCTTCCCGGTTGAATTTTTAGCTAAAATTTGGCATGAGTAAACTAGACTTAATGAAGAAAATGCTCAAAAAATTTCATCAAAAATTCCACCGGGAACCGCCCCAATTGGCGATGGCTGGGCAGAACCTACTATTTAAGGGGCTAATTGAACACTTTAGGTCAGTTAAATGGTCTATCTGATCCTTTAGCCTTTTATTTATAGTAATAGTAATTTCAATCATGGTGCAAGATTTTAAATGTTATGCAAGGGACTTACGATCCCCCCTTATTATTCCAATAAAAAAAGTAGTTAAAGTGACTTATTAAACCAGGCTTCAAACTAATTAGGGGGAAAGACTTCAAAAGTGACTCTTTCTTAAAAGAAAGACCGACAAGGGGAGTATTTGTTGGCTGAAGCTACCTGGAAATGAAGGTGGTTGATGGTGGCAAATGCCCCCAAGCTGTTATAGCCCACCCTGAAGTATGGGTTAGATGCTTCTGCAGCCATGTGAAGTGCAAGCAAGAAGCTGTCTCTGTCAACCCTCTGGGGAAGGCATTCAAGAACCTTAGGAACCAACAGGACATGGCCATATTCTATAGGGCTGACCTGTTAATGGATTAACAAGCATGGAGTCAGTAGATATCCACAACATATATATCAACCACTCACCAGTCACCCCCTTCGGTTCTTATCATAATTTACCTATTAAAAGGTATCAGTGATTCTTTTTATAAGCCATTATTTTTCCTATTTCCATTGTTCGCCCAATCGCCCATAACACACATATTGTTTCCGTGCGTTTATATTATAAAAGGAAATGAACTTACACACAATAAAAAGGGTAAAATTGGAATATCTTAATATTAAAAAAGCTTGAAAAATTACTACTTCTACTGTTTTACCAGTTTGTTTGAATATGCCTTGCGATAAGTCTAGGGGAAAGCACACAAAGTGTCACTCTGATTATAAAAACATCAAAATC